GGAATCGTTTAGGACCTGAAAAAGCAGGAAAGCTTTTTCTTTTCCAGATTATGAACAAATAGGAAAATGAAGGTGAAGACAACTGAGTTAGCGGCAGAAGCCAATATTTTAAGTTTCTTGTGTTGACCTGGTTGACATAGTCTATTTAATTTTTTTTTTTAATATTTCATTTAACTATTTTAGTTAACACAATTTTAACAAAAACAAACCTGAATTTAAAAAATGTGAATGTTTAACTAAATTAAAAAATTCATATACTTGTTTTGTTAAAATACTGTATGTTTGCTATTGGGGAAAAAAAATCCAGAATACATAACGTTGTTGTTTTAGTTAAATAAAACAATTTAAGTGTCTGTCTGGTGATGTTCTCCTCCTAGCACAGCATGGCAAGAAAATCCTTCAAATATTAATGATTAACCTGTGGAATTGGAGATAGTTCACCTCCCAGTGACTTCATAAATATCTGCTTCAATTACCTTTGGTAAATGAAATAACCAATCATTCATTTTCTGATATAGCTGTAAAACTAATCTGAAAAGTTCTCAAAATAAATCATTTTAAAAAAATGTGCAATGTGTACCTTCTAAAAGTGAAACCTACATCTCCGAGTTGTGAAGAATATGTATTAAGGTTTAATAACCAATAAGAACACACTTTTATGTAGAAATCCATGCTTAAAGCAAGTCTTCCTGACTAGTGACTTAAATCATGATTTAAATCAGCTGTGGAGCAGGGTAGATTTGATCTTTCAATACTTGTCCTCAAGGGAAACCTGTCCAACTCCTTCAAAAAGCAAGCCTGTGAATTTAAATATATAACTTTGCTAGATACCAAAAGCCCTGGACTTAACAGAGACACTGTTTTTTGGCTCATTACACCAATTTGTAACACACCCGCTTGTTATCCTTAATTGCCCACTTCAAACCTTTTATGCATAATCATCTAACCCCCAATTGCCCATTCAAGTGACTGCCTCTCCTGTATTATCCCCTCTGCTTAACAATCTGTCCTAACTTGTACTTAGGTCAGACACACTGCTTCCTTCTCCAGACCTGATGGAAAGCTCTGTGAAGGTACAAGCTTTTGAGCTACAACAGAAGTTGGTCCAGTAAGAGATATTACCTCATTTACCTTGTCTCTAATATCCTGTGACTAACACAGCTACACCACCACCAAGATATTAAACATCTCACAAAAATTATTTGAGAACACTGACAGCAGAGGTCAAAGTCACCCCCATGCGGAGTCAGAGGAGGGACAGCTTGCATCCCTTGATCCGGAGTACTGACTTAACCCTCCCTGCTCCTGCATCCCCCATTAGAGCAACCCCAAGGGGTACCCTAACTTGCATCCCTGATGCAGTAGGTCACTAGATTCTATGGCACTACAGAATAGTCAGGGCACATCACACCCCAGCTACAGCATCTGTCAGTGCCTCTTGAAGAGCATCCTGTGCAGGGGCACAAAGCCAGCATAATGTGGGTACATTAGCACCCTTTAATCCCACCACACCCCACACAGAGGTGACCGGCATGATTCAACCCAGGGCTCTAAAGCACTGACCTCTCCCCCTCGAGCTAAAGGAGTCCACGTTAGCAGATAGCACTGGTAGTACACTTAACAAGCATGCTCCGTTGTGGGTGGTGGTGGTGTTTTTTCAGTACCCCAATAGAAGTAGGTCACACCCCCAAGCTTGAGACTGTATCAACATACGTGTCTCTGAAAAGTCAGTTTTCACAAGGAAAAGTGTCTTGTAGTCACCGTTATACTCCAGGTGAGCAGAAGCCTTTAACTAATACTCCAAGTCTCAATGTTAAGGCGAGAAAAACAGCACCCCAACAATCACACCTTTTGGGGAGTGCGCAGCACTGCGCCAGTGTCCTGTGCCTGCATACACCGAGCATTGGGTAAAACCCAAGCTAGACTCTTGGGGAGCTGGATTACATCACTGGTTCCACAGTCAGCAATGTTGAAGGGTAAATCCTCCCAGTACATCTACAATGACCAAGAAGGGTGGCACCAGACTCAGAGTAGTTCATAGAACCACACTCAGTGGCAGGAGAGCTGCCTATAGCAGAGACCCACTCGGAGCAGGCTGTGGGTGAGTGCTAATGGCCACTTAGTGAAAACCAGACTTGCCAGAAGCCAGCAGTTCTGCAGTGGGATTTTATTTTAAGCTTAAGTGCTCTGGAGAGTGGGGGAGGGGCAGGGGAGAGACAGGGAGAGAAGCAGTTTTCTCCCTTTCATATTTATTAAAGCATCTTGAAATGGCGGCGATGGACCCTGCAAGAAGTGGGCTGAAAGGTTCTCTAGTTTCACTGTGGCCTGTGCTGAAACAGCAGCAACTGCGGACTCTGCTGCCCTCCTACAACAGGGGTGGAGTCACCATCTCCCACCCAACTTTCAGCAGCAGGGAAAGATATGTGTCATTCTACAGCAGCAGACCTGTCCCCCCTACCGACACCCCTAGGCAAAGCTAGGTCTAACAGGTTAGCTGAAATAGCAAATAGCGCCCCCCCCATCCTACTCTGTGGTTGTTCTCACAGCAGCCTCTCTAGATGTCAGCAGAGCACCCAGGACTGGCCCATGTCAGCTGACTCAGGCTCATGGAGCTATAAATCTGCAGTGTAGACATCCCATAGCAGTACTGGGCCTATGGCACAAGTCACAGTTCCATCCAGCAGGGCACAACTCTCCCTACCTGCCAGCTCATTACAGTGGCAAATGTCCATAATATGAAAAAACACCTTTCCCCCTCCCAAGGGGAGAGATCCCAGCCACAGCTCAGGAATGAGATGGAACAGTCCTCTCCACTACAGTTACACTCCTTCAACGGGAACGGCGGACACAACCGCTGAAAAACAGGGTGAAACTAGAGCACATGACATACCTGAGAGCTCCCACAGGGCTTCCAACTACTCTGTGACAATATCAGCAGGAGTAGAAAAGCAGATGCTTTTAGGGAGCACAACATATGAAGCAAAATGAAATTTCCTACAGGTTTGTGAGGTACCTCCTCAGGTTCCCATAAATCACACCCACACTGAGTCAAACAAAGACAGCAGCTGGCAATAACCAAGGTTACCCCTTTGCTACATCAGTTCAACACCCTCCCTCAAAAAAAAAAAAAAAATTGCATGAGGGCCAGCGCCTGGTTTTAAATGCTTTCCAGCTGACAGCTGCTTGGCAACTCCCTTCACTGAGCCTTACCTGCCACAGGTGTTTGCAATTTTCTCTCTTCCAGCAGCTGCAGAGCAGCCTCACCTCACACAGCCTATGTTTGTCAAGCAAGAAACAACGTTGCACTTTTTTTTTTTTTAAGGGAGTGTTGCCAGGATGGAGCAGGCGAATAAGGTGCAACATTTCTGGTCAACAAGGATAGAAAATCCTCCCCATTAAAGGCAAAGCACATGTATACCTGCTCAAACACACACACACAGAAGAGTGGGCCTCTTCTAGCAAGAAATCTTCATGAGAGGAGGGAGGATTTGGGGGAAATGGGCCTGTTCATAATGGAGGCCCTAGTCCTACAAGTATGATTGAAGACAAGGGGATGAGTGCTGTGTAAAAAGTTCAGCATGGGTGAGTGTTTGTAGGGTTAGGGCCTTAAAGAGGAGGGAGGAGATGTCGCTTTGGATTTTATTTAGCTAAGAAGTTTGAAAAGAAATACAGCTAGAGAGACAGAGAAAACTATATTTCTGTCTGCTTTTGATGCAATGTTAATTATGCAGCTTCTCACCCTTCTGGATAAAAAGGAACTAAGAGATTTTAAGACAAAAATCCCAGTAACATCAGACTAACAATGGGGCTCAGACAGGATGTTCAGATCCAGGTATAAGCGATCCCCCAGGGAAGGGTTTGGATCCAGGGTTCAGCTCAGCAAGGGAATAGGGACCAGAAGCAAAGTGAGGGATTTGGGGGTTTACCTATTGCTGATACTGGGATGGGTGGGCCTAGGCCCAGCCATAGCTAAAGACCTACCCTCTTAATGGGGGAGGGAGGAACCAGCACTGATAGAGTACAGTGACAATAAGCAGTCTGCAAGTGCCTTTTGAAGAATTCCCCAGGCACGGGTGTAACCCACACACCTCCTGGGTGTGGTGTTCTGTCCTCTCTAGTGGCACAGAGACCACGTAGGGAGAGGGGGAGATGAATGAGTCTGCTCTGCAGTCTTAGCTAAGGGCCCTACAGCTTTTAGCTCATGCAGTAGCAGCTCATGCACTTAGCTCCCGAGGTCCCAAGTTCAACCCTGTTCGGCTGCATACGATAGCCCTATGTTGCCCACTTTTTCCTGAGAACTCCACTGCTGGGGGAGGTGCCCTGAGCAGGATGGGGGACGATAACACGCACCATTCTGGCTGGTACCACAAGCCAGAGGCAGTGCTAGGAAACTGCCATAACTTAGAACAGCTCCCTGGGCTGCCTAAATTATGCTGGAGGTCATTTCAGCCCCTGCAGCAGCTCAGACTCAGGAGGGCGCAGAAGTGGCTTAAAGCCAATTTTGTCCTCACTGCCCTTGGACTTAACCTTCTGTGCTGTGTCTCCTGGAGGTACGTTACAGCACAGAATCTGCCCCAGTGCTGTGGAAAGCTGGTTCTGACTCCAAACATCACCAAAGCATTGGGATCTGAGCTTGTCTCTCCACAATAGCACAAATTATTGTGAGTTGAACGTTTGCCTCTGAGTTGTCAGACTAGTTCTTCCTGCAGACCTAGCTCAGCCCAAACCCTCCTGCCCCCAACTAGCAATGCTCTGGGCTTGCCCTCAGCAAGATGCCACCTCCTTTGGAGGAGCCCCTTCATAGAATATCAAGGTTGGAAGGGACCTCAGGAGGTCATCTAGTCCAACCCCCTGCTCAAAGCAGGACCAATCCCCAATTTTTGCCTCAGATCCCTAAATGGCCCCCTCAAGGATTGAACTCACAACCCTCGGTTTAGCAGGCCAATGCTCAAATCACTGAGCTATGCATCTCTCCTTCCCTCCCTCACTTACTGCTGTACCTTTCTCCTATGCAAGTAGGCGCTGCTTCCTGGGCCTGTGTCCATTCCCTGGGGCATGTTTGCTCCCCCTCTTGTGTTCCCTCTGCAGCCCACCTCTGTTTGCGCTGCTCGAGCTTCTGAGACCAGTCGCTGAACCCCTCATCCTCTTCCAGCTCTGAGGTCCCTGAGGGCTTAAAGTCAAACCTGAAACACACCAGGAGAAAGATTAGAACAGTGGAACTACAAAGGATCAAAGTTGGTACAGATGATACCCATGCTGGTCAGATTCCTTCCCTCTGCACTAACCTGGCTAGCACAACCATCCTCTAGTAGCTCCTCTCATACAGTTACAGCTGCAGGACCAATAAGGGCCTGGTCTCCGGAATCCCACCCATCCTCATTCTCCATTAAAGGAGAGGTCACAAAGCAGCCTAAACCACTTCAGAAAGCACCACAGAGCAGCCACATAGGAATTCTCCTGGTATAAGGGGAATCCCTGAACAACACAGCAATTCCACGTCACCCCCATTCCTGGGGCAAAAGAGACAGTGACCTGTCCTCTGTGCTCCTAGTGATTCCTGGCTCCGCAGATAGCCTCATGGGGCCACAGGAAATCCCAGCATAAGCTAGAGCTTCCTTCAGGCCACCGGTGCCTTCACATCTTCCTCTGGTCCTGCACTGAGGACAGTTTGGCCAGACCAGTGACTCTGGTGTAAAATCTTCTTAAATGCATTTAGGAACCCAGGTCCCATTCATGTTTGCCCTGCAGCTTGGGTATGCCATTTATACTAGTGCCAAGTGAGTGCAAAACACTCTCAAATGAGAATGAAAGCACTTTGCACCCACTTGGCGGTGGTGTAAATCACAACACACGGGCACAGCAATGGATGAGTGAGAGAGGAAGGATGGTCCAGTGGTTAGGGCTCTAACCTGGGACTTGGGTTCAATCCACTGCTCTGCCACAAATTCCCTGTGTGGCCTTGGGTAAGACACTTAATATCTCTGTGCCTTGGTTCCCCATCTGTAAAATGGGGATAACAGCACTGCTCTCCCCCACAGAGGTGTTGGGAGGATAAATGCATTACAGATGATAAGGTGTCTGGATCTGTGGTAATGGGGGCGGGCAGACAAGTGGCTTAGATAGACTGGTCCCCATCTGGCAGTGCAAACCTACCTACGAGCCTTCTGCTTCATGCCTCACTGCCAGCAATAAGGGTTCTGGGATCAGTTTGTAGACACCAACTGTTACTGATGATGTGTGAGGCAGAACACAATCAGGCTTTGCTCTTTTGTGTCTTCCTGGACTCTTCACAGCTGGTAGCAGTTTAACAAACTTGCTCTTACCAGCAAAGTAAGCAGATATGGATTCAGGAGTGTAGAGCCTTGGTGCTAAGAAAACCAAGGGGAGTTTTGCCATTGACTCCACTGAGAACTGGATGTGCCCCAAAGGCGGCAGGTACGGACAGTGAATAGGTGTCATTTTCCCAGAGTCGCTTTCCCATTTGGATTCATAACTGCACTTTACAGTGCTCCTGAAAACACACATGTTGGCAGTTCCCCTCCCCCCCCATGCCACGCCACCTACTGCCAATTGCTGAGCTTCCACACGCCGGCGTAGTTTGGCACGGCCAAGTGCTCGTCCCTCTGCTTCTTAAAAAGCCCTGCAGGGGGGGAAAGGGGGACCAAGAGGAGCTTAACCTCTGGAAAGATTTCCTATCCTTCCACTGGTGAGGGGAAAACTCCCTCTTCGTTCACCAAACAGGAAAGGAAAGAGGTGAAGAAGAACTTCTGTCCAACTGCCAAGAGCCTGCAGAGCTTCATCACCCTGCTGGCACGGCATATACAGCCCATGTTCCAAAGCACTGATGCAACCCAACAGCTGTGATTTCACACAAAGACACAACAAAGCCCAGTGCACAGTTGAAGCCCAGTGCACGGTAGGTGGTCGAAGGAGGATTGGCTCCTCCAGATACATGGCTGCTTGCTGCAGAGCAACTTTGGCCCATTTTATGCTCATTGCTTTTCCCTTTCTCCTTCACCATCTAGGCTTGTGGTGACTTCAAGTGAGATACCTGAGACACATGATGGCCAACCCCAAATGTTAGAAAAATCACGGGTTAGGCCTCAAGAAGTCTTGAGATTGGCTTAAAACCAATGAGATTTTTTAAATAGATAAATGTGTGGTGGGGGGTCTTGTTTGTTTTCTGAGTTCAGAGCCTAAGGGAACACTTGGGTTACATACATTTTCCAGCTTTTCTCTGTAACCGTGAGGGCTAGAAACTTACATTTTTTAAAGAATGAAAGCTGAGATTCTCTTATTCACGTGACTCCAGCAGCTGAGTCTTTGGGGGGGAAAATCAGCTATCAGAAGCCTTGTGACAGCTGACAACAACAGACAGGCCCAGATTTAAATACCCACAATGCCCCACATCTCCAGAAGGGCCCTGGCAATGCAAGGATCTTCAGTAACTGGGGTGGCATTCACTCCTGTCCCAAATCAGGTGGTCAGCCAGTGGAGAAGCCGAGAACGTATTTCAGGGTTCTTCATGACATTTTCACATTGAACCTTCCCATATTGACTAAGTGATACAATGACAATCTGTGATGTCACAGGTGAAAGTGGATTAGGATTTACGATTCTTGTAGTTCCTAGAGGCCCCGAGTGAGACATCATGCTCGACTCTGTTCACACAAATAGTAAGAGAGTCCCTGCCACAGAAAGCTAACAATCTGAATAGACAGGATGGGAAGTATGGTTCCTGTTTTACCAATGACTAACTGAAGCACAGATAGGGGAAGTGACTTGCCCAGGACACACAGGGAACGCTGTGGCAGAGCCAGGAAAAGACTCCAGGTTTTCCGAATCCCCGGTCAGTGCCTGGGGGAAGAGCGGTCCTTGAGTGGGAAGCTCAGCCCTTAAAGGCATAGATAAAGGCCATACTCCAGTTGCGGGTAGCCAGAGCACAGCCCACTCCAGTCATTCCCTGACCCCAATGCCCTCCTTTGCCAGGGACAGAGAGAGCGCTATGCTCCGTGGCAAATCCACAGCAGGAGACTGGCAGGTGGTCCCCATTCCCTCTGTGATGCTCAAGAATCTGCCCCAGTGTCCTGACTGCAGCTCCTTTACCTTTCTGAAATACCACCCCCAGCGCTCAGGCTGCAAAGGTTGGATGCCACTGGGCTGGAGTTTGGGGCAATTTTGATTTCACAGCCTGGTCTCCCCCTGACTCCCCTCAGAACTCAAGATCACCAGGGAGGAGAAATAAAAGGTGTGAGAGTGGGGCTGGCATAACACCGCTCCCGCACTTCAATTCTAAATGGCTTCGCGCCACTCCAGCATCCAGGCCTACAGGGAAGCCACCACAGCTGTCTGGGGGAAAAAAATGTGACCCAGATTTACTTTTGGGGCTGTGCAAAGCCCCTCACCCCAAGGAAACAACGAGGGCCTGCTTACACAAAGATGAGTTGCATGAATGGGGTGAGTCACTGTACGGGGGCGTGGTGTTTACACAAGAGAAAGCAAAGACTTTTGGAAGATTAATGGCAGGCTGACCCCAGCTCAGCAAGCCAGCCCAGGTGGCCGTCAGCAGCTGCAGAAGAGGCTGGAGAGAAGGAAATGCAATTTCAGATGGACCGCAGCACAATAGCTCAGTGCTACCGGTGTGAGCGTATAACAAAGCAAAGAGGCTGGCTAAGGCTCATCCATAAAAGCCAGAAGTCAAGATGGCCAGCAGGCACGTTTTGAGAGAGGATGGATTTTACTATCAAACTTCCCCTATTATTCTGGGGCATCTGGATGTGGGATTTGGGTCCAGGCTCATCCCTACCTAAACGATACCTATAGGTTTCCCAGCACTCTCCCTAACCCTCAGCTCTCCATCTACAAATATTTGCATGTGTATTTGTATGGGGGATTGAACCCAGGACCTCTGGATCTTAAACAAACAAACAGACAAAAAAGCACAAACTTCACTGCCTGAGCTAAGGGACTAGCTCACCTCTAGTAACAAACTCCTAAACCTCTCTATGTTGTCTGCCCCTCAGAGGGGCACAAAGAGTCACACTATCCTAGCATGGGTTACATTGGTCTCTATTGGCCCCGGTGGAAAGATGCCCACAAGCTTCCGATCTTTTCCCCATCCTCAATGAGTGAGGCTAGTTCTCCATGGTTTATTTTAAATTGTAAACCATGCCTCAGACCTCTCTGCATGATCTATCGCCTTTCTCCTCCTTCCTTGTGGGCTGATGTTTATCAACAACCTTCTAATCTGCCACTGTACACTTGGATCTTTGGTCACTCAGGCCAAAAATCTCCAAACATGCCTGTCTACAGTTAAACTCCTAAGTCCATATTTAGGCGCCTAAGTAAAAGTGTCCTGATTTTTCAGAAAATTCTCAGCACGCATAAAGCCCACCGAAGGCAATAAAAACTTCTTGGTGCTCGGCACCTTTGACAAGCAGGTCAGGCCACTTTTATTTGGGTACCTAAATATGGTTCCAAGTGCCTAAATTTAAACATTCAGGTTACAAAATTTTGGCTTTGAGCCTGATTCATTCCTCTTTTTCTAGCACACCTAAAACTCCCAGTAAAATCAATGGGAGCTTGGACTGAGCAATGAATCCCTGCCTATCAACAGAAAGAGAATGACCATGAGCCAAAGGTCAGGTCTGGGAAGGGCCAGTCTCCCCTCCGGGCCCTCCCTTAATACAGCTGGGAATTTTGTTCCTATTTATTGTATATTGCCAGAAACTGTCAACCCCCCACTGTATCATATATGACAAATGGATCAAACACATTTTCTTTAATTACTCCCCCCAAAAGTTGCTTCCCCACACACACACACCTTTTTTGTCTATTCTTCCCTTCTCTGTTTCACTGTGTCTTTTTCACTCTTTTCAATGGGACTACTAAACCTTAACACATGCATAAGGCCCACTCCTGTAAAGGCTTACGCACATGCTTAACTTTTATACATTGTGAATAGTCCCCCTTGCTGTAAATGGGATCACTCACAGTATAAAGTTAAGCATATGTGTACGTTTTTTCAGGGCAGGGCCTCAATGTTTGCATTATTGGGGGGTGCTATTTTTTTACTGTAACTGCTGCTTTGATGCCTTGGGCAAGTCACTTAATCTTGCTGTGCCTCTAGACATCTGTAAAGTAGAGATATCTGCCTCAGCAAGTTGATTTGAGACTTTGTTAATGAATGTTTGTAAGGCACTTTGTGATCCTTGTATGAAAGGTGGTCTAGAAATGCTCTCAATTAATATTATAAGGTACATCTTACATTTTTAATGAAAATACGTTTCTTTTTAGAGCTGGCAGAAATATTTAAATTTTCCAAATAGTGATGAAATGCTTCTCACAAAAAAGGAAACATTTTCACAAGAATTTGAAAATAAAAATCTTGAGAAAATGTTTTAAAATCCTGACAAAAATTGAACTCTTTTCATGAAAAATTCTGCATTTTTTCATGAAAAAATTAGAGTTTTTTTTCATGAATAAATTCAGATTTTTTCCTGAAATTTTTTTTCACAAACAAATTTTGATTTGTTTTCCCCACAATTTTGTTTGCTGTTTTTATGCCTTGGCCCTGATACTACAATCACTTATGCACGTGCTCAGCCATCAGTGGTGAAGTTAAGCACATGTATAAGTGGTGGCAGGATCAGGGCCTTACAGAGCTGGCTGACACTTTTTAAAAATTCAGATGAAATATTCTCACTATTTTTTTCAATCAGCTCCACTTCTTGTTTAATTTGGGCCCTGATCCTACAAAACACTTAATATGCTTAAACAAGTTCTGTAGACTTCAACAGAACTATGCCTATCCTTAAAATTAACCATGTGTCTAAACACTTTGCTGAACTGGGGTCTTGTACATCAATTTAACCCTTATTGAACTCTCCTCATTTAAACTCCCAGCCCCCTGCATTTTCATCTCACAGGAAAATTTAAAACTGTCCCCCTAAAAGGCTTGGTGGCAGTAGGGATAGAATCTGTGACCTCTGAATTTTAAAGCATAAGCATCAATCTAAAAAACCCTCCCTTGCCAGCCAAGGCTTTACCAAGCCTATCAACCTTTATATGTGGCCCAGCTACCACCAGACGGGGGCAGAGCAGCACAGTGAGTGGTATCTGGGCCACACAAGCGCGAGCCAAAAGTGAGGATTTTTGCCACTAGGATGGCGCTTGTTTGAAGAGTGTTCTACGCTCCAGCTCTTCTTACTGGTTTTCCTGTACTGGCAGCCCACTCTCTGACAAGGAGTCGGTGTTGTTCAAGCCATCTTCTGCCTGGGACCTCTGCTGTTTCTCCCGTTCCCTTCTACGTCGCTCTCTTGCTGCCTCTTCCTCATCCTCCACACTCCACTGTGCTGTCAGCCTGTCAACCAGAAGGGAAATGTATTCTTAAAGCAGGCAGCCAGTTCCAAGAGAAGCAAATAAAGGGAAAATGTCCTGGAATCTCAGGAGAAAACACAGCACCGGGTGGGCCCCATTCTGTGAGCTTCACTCCTGCCAAGGAGCACTTACTTACCCTCGCAGCATGCCTGGAAGCTAAGGAAACCACTTGTGTAAGTGCTACACAACATGAGACAATAGGATTGCAGAATCAGGCCTTGTATGAGAGGGCTGGATTGCTTCTTAGGGGATGGGTAACTGTGTCTATGGTAGAGTCTTTCACATATGAAGCCACAATATGTCCCATTCTTTCCAAGGCAGTCCCGTTTTCCAATGGCCTGTACCAGAAATTCAAAACTAAAACAGGATACATAACTATCCCATAAAGCTGGTCAAAATGTATTCCATGGAACTATTTTTCATTCCCCAAAAATGCAGTTTTGTCAGACTCTAAACATTTCGTGGGGATGCGTCCATTTCAATTAAGTTTTCAATGGGAAAAAAGTCAGAACAAATCATTTCTCATTTTGTTTCGATAAGGTAAAGACGTTTCTTTTTGACTCTCATTGCAAGTCATTTCATGCTGCCCTTTATAATAAATATCGATTTCACCATTACATTACATTAATAGGTTATAGGTAATCTTTTACTATAATATGAAAATCAACATGAAATAAATTCAAATGATACGGTCAAAATGAAACATTTTGACTTTATCAAAACAAACCATTTGAATGGTCCCAAATTTAAATTTGTCAGAATTTTCATTCTGTGGGAAATTTCAAAATTTCAGCTTTTATTTCCCATCTGGAATTCCCCCCTTCCCTCCCCATTCTCCCATTCCCACCCCCAAAATGCTGGAATTTCCCACGGGACAGAAATTCTGGTTTCCAACCAGCTCTAGTATCCCATTGGATGCTCAACAGCACGATTCACACTGCCTCAGCGGGGGTGCCGCTGAGCAATCCCAGACTGCAGGGAAACTCTCCCTACAGCACCTGGTGCCACCTACGCAATAGATATCATCCCACAGCCTGCCCACGCCGGCTGTGGAATAGACGTCCTGCTTTTTCAGTTTGATAGTCTGGTCACTTTCCCTGTGTGTCATCCAGCCTCAGCTGGCAGTGACCGAAAAGGGCATGTGAAAAGAGGCTCTAGATCTCCGCCCAGGGGGCAGCTGTTCCTATCACACTGATATCATGGCAACTGGTGGCCCTTCTGGCAGCCTCAACAAAAAGATCTAGCATTGGATGGCCTGGGAAACTAAATCACCTTCTAACCCCTAGGTCAGAGTTGAAGCACCTTGACAGGGCAGCGTGGGGGAAGTGTGCTGCCTAGCTGTTCTGTACATGATGGTCCTGATTCAGGAAAGGCCTTAAGCGAGTGCACTTGAAAGGCATTTCAGCACATGGTCAAGTGCTGCGCAGAGCAGAGATTTGTTCCATACTCTGGGCCAAAGGAAGGATTTCAGCCCTCAGCTCCATTAGTTCTGCCCCTCTGCAGTAACATTAAAAGAATGACAAATATTATACACAACAACGATCCAGCTCTCGGAAATCCCAGGCCCTGAAGCTGAAAGGTTGCCCAATACTGTGAGAAATCCAAATCCAGGTTTGTGGGCCCCTACACTCCCAGGGAGAGAGCCCTACGTGGAGCAGACCTTGACATGTTTTCTTAATCAGCTGAGTAGTTATATTTTAATCAGAATTCCTGTGCCAAGCTGTTCCCTTGCTACAATGGTGCAGGGAATGTTGGAGGAGGGTACCCAGTGCTATCGCTCAGCCAGGCTCCAGCTGTGCTCTGTACTGTTTCCTTCCTCCCTTGCATAGAAGAAAATCCTGGCTTGGCTTCTCCCAGAATGTCCCAGCCTCCAGATAATAAACCCTCTGTCAGCAAAGTGACCTCTCAGATCCCAGAGGAAACGATAAGACCGCGGCAACATTCCTACACTGGTGATAACATGAATTTTCATGCAGGATCCGCTCCTCCCCTTCTCGCCTCTTTCAGCACCATGCTGATCTTGGTGTGAGAAGGACAAGCTATGTCAGTGACCCGACCAGTCTAACTTCAGCACCAGCCCATCCCTGCCAGACTCCTGCTTCCTTAGGGTCTCAGACTATAGCTGTAATAGAGTGAGGGCTGAGTCATTCATGGCCCCTATCAGCCGGGCTCCAGCTGCAATAGCAAGGGCTCCAAACCTTTTGCTTCATTGTAGGGGTGAGTCTATCTGACCCTGGATGTTCCCCTGGAGATACTTTTGCAAACATGCATAAAGGAGAGCTTTGAGGAAAGCATTGGTTTTTGAGCAAAGAGTAAGGTCCTTTGTTATGTTGATGATTTGTAATGAGAGTAACACCCAGAGGCTCCAGGTGCGAGGCCACATGGTGCTAGGTGCCATACATACCAGAGGGCCGGTGTACATGTAGAGCTGCACCAGTTTAACGAAAGGTGTGATTTGAAAGTGATTTAGCTAAACTGGTGCAAAAGGCTGTGTGGACATGCTTATTGCAGTTTAAACAAGGCTCATTTTTAAATCTTTACCTTAAATCAGTTAGGGACAGGTTTAAGCAAAACCTAAATAAAGTACTCAAACCAGAATACCTATGTTCCCACAGGGGTTTGCACCATCTTAATGAACCTGATGCAAAGGGGTGTGTAGACAGCATCATAGAGAAAGATGGCCCCTGCCCCAAAGAGCTTACAATCTAAACAGACAAGATAGAGAAAGTGTGGGAATGGGAAACTGAGGCACAGTAACTTATCCAAGGATACAGAACAGGTGACTGGCAGAGCTGGGAAGAGAATACAGGTCTCCTGACTCTCAGACTACTGCCATAGCTCCTAGACCACACTGCCTCAGAGTAATTGTTGCAAAGTGCTTTCCGCAGGCAGCTGTCAAGAGCCATCACTCAGGTGTCTCAAGCCAGGCATCCAAAATCATCAGTGAATTTTGAGAACCTTGGCCAACATATTTGATGTTTCTTTGACTAGCTTGTTTTCCAGCCCTTTTTTGTGTGTTCTCAGACCACAATGTGTCTGAGCTCACCTCCATTTAAAGCTCCTCACCATCCCAGTGTGGCATGACAGCACATGGCAAACACGCCAAAGACCTCAGAGGAGCTGGCGAGGAGGACTGAAAGAGCACAGAGAGAGTGGTGATTTCAGCACACTAGCGGGTGTAGCAAAGTTACAGTGCACAGACCAGCCCGGATTTCTCGTCTCCCGCCACAGGAATGAGCTTCTTCTGCCGGTCACGACCCAGCACCACTGCCAGAAGGGACACTGCATTTTCTAAAAATTACATTACCTGAATTAAATTGCTCCCCCCTTCTCCCATCCTGCCTCTTCCACCCCGCCCTACTCCACACAGGCACAGAGAGCGTGAAGTCACCAGAAAGAAGACCCAAGCAAATCCCCTTCTTTATTCATTCCACACTCATATTTACTGTTTTCTCCATAGTTCCCATAGAAACAGTTGTCTGTGGTCCTGGCCAGGAGCCAAGGTGGGGGGGGAGTGGGGGGGGGAGGAGGTAAGATATATAAATGAAGTCATTCATTAAGCTCCGCCTCGACCTTCCTTTCTTATGTGACAGAACTTGATAAAGTCTCTGTTTCAGAAAGGCTCTTAACCCCGTCTGTCCTGGACTCCCCCAGTCATAAGGTGTGAGGGCCCCAGAATGAGTGGGATTTTTAGAATTCACCTGGAATTCCCCAGGGGGCTGCAGTGGGGAGGAATTATAACTACCCCCTCCCACCCCCCCAGGGGTGAGCTGGAGTCTCCCGGGGGGCTCCAATAGAAATTTGTGTGACAGTCATTTACATTATCAAATGAGCTTGGCTTGCAGCCCGCTCTGTTTCCCAGTTGGATGTGACTAATTCTCTCTCCATGACCTCACCGGCTCACTATTCTGTCACTGCATCTTCTGAACTGGCTGTGTGGCATGTGAGCGGAGGACAATAATAACAAGAACAAACGGGGGTGGGGGGGATTAAAATCATTGCTCGGCCCAATCGAAAGATACCCACCAAATTCACCCTGCCAAAGGACAGCCTGGCATATTGGCTTCTCTTCCAACTGACCCAAATTGCAGTTATCCCAGTGCTGAGAGCCTCTTTGCCATAAACACGTGGGTCGCTGCTTTCTATTGTGCTGCACAGTGCTCAGAGGCCCGGGGCCTCCAGCTGGAGGGAAGTGCCGTCATGCTGAAAGCCTCTCCCAGGCTTCTGTCAGGAAGAGGGGGCGCACCAAACAGTCCCAGCTGCAGCTCACGCTGGGGTTTCTCTCTGATGTCACTTGTTTGTCCGTGGCGCTGCTAAAGATGTCCCCTCTTCAAAACTTTTGAGCAGATCTGGTGAATTTCAGTGCTCAAGAAGTGTAGGGGCTGGGAGAACTGGCCAGATCCAGGCATTGCACAAGCAGGCTCTGGCCAAGCTTTCTTCACTACAGCTCTGCCAACGTGACTCCAAACTGGCCTGGATGCAACACACGCGCCCAAGCTCACTCCCTGCCATTCCAGTCCTAAGTAGGAGCTGCTAATTACACAGTGGCTTAAAGATAAACTGGATATTATCCACTAGGGACTAGACTTAGGCCTGGTTTACACTTAAAACTTCTACCAGCGTAGCTACATCAGTCAGGGATGTGGAAAAAAAACCACACACTTTAAGGACACAGCTGTGCTGACTAAACCTACACTGTAGACAACTAAAGAGAGCAACCAAAGAGCGCAAAGCTAACATCATTTGGGGAGATGGTGTTCATATACTGGCAGAAACACTCTTTCTGTCGGCATACGCTGAGTCTACACTAGGGGACCGGACCAGCACAGCTATGCCAATCTAGGGTCTGTAGTGTAAACATAGCCTAAGAACACCCATGTTCATTACACTTGTGGGGTTTAGCCTTATGGGTAAGGATCACAGCTGAAGGATTAGTACAGTCCATTATCTCACTGTATCCAGCCTTTCCCTCCCCTGCCCCCC